TGCAGGGCTCTCCCTGTTTTTGTATGAGAGTGGGTTATAGGAACAAAATGCGCAACGTTCTGCACATCCGACCAGCGATACGAATATGGTTCTAGTTTAAAACAGGAGGGTGGGTATCGACCAGTACAAGAGTAATTCCCTTTAGGGCCCACAGAGATCCAAACCCTGGCTTCCAGGAGATGGTAGCTTCAGAGAAACGAAATCCTCCACTTTCCATTCCAACAGGTCTTCAATCTTGCTATTGGCCGTCGGGCCCAGATTTGAACTTTGGTTCCTGCGGAAGTAGTAGGGGGGGGGGGGGGCAGGATCCGGCGAAATACGCTGCGATTGGAGGGCGAAATAAACCAAGAGTCAATGGCTGGATAGCGAGCTGGGTGAAGGCAGAGGGTCCATGACGAGGGGATAGTATTTTTCAATAGAATTAAAATTGTGGTCTACATTGTGTAGCGGCTGTAGGCTAGGCAATTTCTTGCGGAGAGAATCGTGCGTAATCCCTTTCCTTTCTTTTTCACAAGCATGCCTTTAATGTTCTGTTTGTAGCCGCTCTTCGTCTTGGTTACCTGATCTCGCAAATATTTGTGGGCACTTTCAATTACTTTGGGCCTTCAGAACAAAAAAACAAAAAAAAAAAAAAACAAAAAAAAAAAAAGAGAGAAAGAGAGAAAGAGAGAGAGGGACAGCCCATTATTGACTAGTCTCTCAGATACAGGAGGGGACAGGAGATGGGAGGGCAGGGAACAAGATGGAAGGACTCAAAGGAGATGGAAGAATATGGAAAGGGTGATGGAGGAGACGGAAGGAGATGAAAGGACATGGAAGGATATGAAAGTAGGTGGATCACGGTGGAGATGGCAGGAGGTCAGACGATACATGGCGATGGAGATGGAAGGAAGATTAAAGGAGATGGAAATGGAGATGAAAGGAGATGGAGATGGGAGATGGGAGATGGGAGATGGGAGGACGCAAGGAGATGGAGATGGAGATGGAGATGGAGATGATGGAGACGGAGACGAATTGGAGATAGAGAAGGAAAGAGATCGAAGGCGATGGAGAATGGAAGGAGATGGAAGGAGATGGAAGGAGATGGAAGGAGATGGGAGGAGATGGGAGGAGGGGAGGAGATGCAGACAACAGAGATAAATTGGAGATGGAGATGGAGATGGAGATGGAAAGAGATTGAAGGCCATGGAGATGGGAAAAGATGGAAATAATGGAAGGAGGCAGAAGGATATGGAGGGAGATCTGGAAGAGGAGATGGAAGGAGATGGGAGGACGGGAGGAGAATGAAAGACACGGAAATGGAGATGGATGGAGATGGATGGAGATGGATGGAGATGGAGAAGAAGATGGCAGGAGATAAAACGCGTTGGATGGAGAAGGAGATGGAAGGAGATGGAGAGAAAAAGATATGGATGCTGACAGAAAAAGGCACTAGGAGAAAAGAGGAGGAGGACAGAAGGGGGGGAGGTAGAAGGAGATGGAAGTGCAATGGTGGAGATGGAAGGAAATGGAGGGAGGAAGGTGGTAGAAGGGATGAGAATGCATGACGAGGTAATTGATGGTGAGGACAGAGGGTAGCAACAAGCCGAAAACCCCGCAGAAAACCCAGAGGGTATGGGTGGAAACATGGGGGAAAAAAGAAGGGGAAAAAAAGAAGGGGGAAAAAAAAAGAAAGTGGAAAATTACTTAAAAATAGCCGTGTCGACAGGTGCTGTTGGGTCAACAGGTATAAAGATTACCAACATTTCAAAAAAAAAAAAAAAAAAACATCCCAAGCCATCACTAAGCAAAGCCCTTAAGATAGTTTATAAATTAACAATTAATTTAACTGGGGTTTCATAGCCCAATCAGCCACCGGTTGTCGCGACAATTTTGTGAGACGCCTACCCTACCCATCCTCAATTTTGTGAGACTCTTACCCTACCCATTCTCCCGTCAATTCTCCTAACACACCCCTATTACTAATATCCTACCTCTCTTTTTTTCTTTTTTCTTTTTTTTTCTTAAAAAAAAAAAAAGGGGCCCACTCAGGACTATCACCCCTCTATCCCCAGGGAGTGACTTGTGACTTGGACCGAACAGCAGTCACAGGCACCAGGGCTAAGCAGACACCCTACCCACCCCTAGCCGATGCATGATCAGGCGAGCCTTGTCACACGGGTACTTACTTCGGGCGCCAGGCTCATGCAATGTTATCGATCCCACATACTACTCTATCCCCCACCAACCATATCACTGACTCTTATCTGATAGCGCCCCCCCCCCTAAGCCCAGATCAGGTCTATGACACGCCTAGCAGAGACAAGATCATCTCCTTCCCCTCCCCCCCCCTTCCCCCCTGGCACTGTACTTTACTATGTATGTCCAATGGCCATGTGTATGCCCGTAGACTGTGTGTATGTATGTATCCGTAGACTGTGTATGTATGTGTCTGTAGACTATGTATGTGTCCGTAGACGGTGGCATGTATGTCCGTAGACTGTGTATGTGCCCGCAGGCTGTGTGTGTGTGTTTTCTGACAGCCATATCTGTGCTAGAGACCCCCACCAAAGTCCCAAGTCAGATCACATATGTGTATGCTATGTAGAGACTCGAACCCACTTGTTCACAAATTCATTTTGAATTTTGAAATCATCCCACTCAACATTTTTTTGCAAGCTGAAATGAATGGTCCACACCGCAATAAACGTTGTTGGTACACCGTGCAACAATAACAAAACTTTATAAAAAGAGGAACCCCACCTCGCCACATCCGTGGCGGGGCAATGAGAATGAATCTTTCCAGTAGAGCAAGGAAAGGTACACCGCCATACTTACTTTATGCCATTATAGTGGAGGGAGGCCCAACACACATGCCGATTTTATTCCTCTTTTAAAAGTTTTTTTTCGTTTTTTTTTTGTTTTGTTTTGTTTTTTGTTTGTTTGTTTGTTTGTTTGTTTGTTTGTTCGCTTGTTGCGTCGTTCCAATTTGAACGGATATCCCCGAGGACGGAATATGTTTTAGTCTTTTAGAGGGGCCATGGGATATTATTATATTAATCATAGTATCATTTGTTGTTTGAAGTGACCTGGCCCAGGTCAGTCAGAATCGCAGTATGTTACTCAAACTGCTTCATGTGGCGATATACGCTTCATGCGGCGGCATGCGCTTCAATGCGGCGACATGCGCTTCGTGCGGGGGTTGAAACTCGGGTCTGTAGCAGAGGATTCAGAGGCTCGCCCTACCGCTCTCCGCATGCACAAAAGACAAAAAAATATGGCGGTGTATCTGTCCATGTCCTTGCAGAGGAATATTCTTAGCGGAGGGAGGCCCTCAGGGCATACTCACACCAGGACCTGGCAACGTAAATTCCACAAATTTGAGGCAGACTCCCGGTCACACTGGGTTCTCCCGCTTCCATTTTGTACTTTTTAGTGAACGAAATGTCAGCGGCCTGCGAGAGTACCCTTTTTTTTTTTTTTTTTTTCCCGAAACGGAACTGCAAGAGTACCCTTTTTGAAACCACCTCAAGAGGGGTTCACAAATTCTCTTTTCGATTTTGTCATTTTCCAAAGAAATTGTAAAAAATTGTGCATGAAGAAGACAGCCCGCTTGTTATTTCAGGATTGGGAACAAAAAAAAAAAAAAAAAGAACACTTTTGTTTCTTTGGGTGTGGTACTCTGCGACTACGTGCACTTGGCTTGGTATCGAACTGGGTGGGACTTCATGATATTTTATTAACCTATCAGTCGCCTTCGGCATTTGTTGACATGCCGACTTATCCTTATCTTCTTCTTCTTCTTATTATTATTATTATTATTATTATTATTATTATTATTATTATTATTCCTCTCTTTCTTCCTTCTTCTTATTATTATTATTATTATTATTATTATTATTATTATTATTATTATTATTATTCCTCTCTTTCTTCCTTCTTCTTCTTCTTCTTCTTCTTCTTCTTCTTCTTCCTGCCTACATGTTTGGTCGTCGTGTGTTCTTTGTGTGTTAGGCCTAAGAGCCGTCACCAGAGTTGTCATGTTGTAACATGCTGATGCTGTGAATTTCCTCAAACATCATTTTAATGATTGGAACCACCGTAGAAATCGTACCACGGGTGTGTAACTCGTTGCTTGTTGCGCGTTGAATATTACTTGGTGATTTTGCTATTCTGAATCGATGGCTGGTGTGACCGTGAACAATGGTTGTTATGAGTGTGGGGCGATAAACCACTGGGTCCGTGATTGTCCTGTTCGTAATTCCCGATTCAGACCGCCGGCTACGGGTGCAAACACCGTACCGACGGGAGCCCCTCTTTTGACCTTGTTCCATCTTCATCTTCATCCGTCCCTAACTCTCATCCTTGCTCCTCCAGTTTCCAACCAACTAACGCTGCGGGGACAAACTATGACCATCAGGGAAGGCCTAATTGGTGGCCACATAATCAGGAGCGGCTCGATAAGGTGTATAATAAATACATTGAAGACTCCGAGAAAGAAGCTAGGAAGAAAGAAGCTAGGAAGAAAGAAGAGGAGAAGAAGGAGAGGATTCAGAGGGAAGGCGAAGCAAAGAAGCTCATATGGAAACAAGAACGTGGGCAGCTCGAAGCTGAGATGGGGGCACGCCTGGAGAAGAGGTGCCAAATTGACGGGGAAGGCGGTCAGTAGCGGTGGGAAAGACGATTTCAGTGATGAACTAACGAAGCTGCGAATGGCGAACGAAGAGCTTAAGAAGAAGCTGGGGGAGTCCATCAATCCTACGGGGGACGATAAGATTATGTATCTCCAGAGGGAGATCATGGAATTACGAAAACAAATTGCGGGCAAACATTTGGATGAAGATGTGATTCTCGCTCTGCAAGCTCAAATTGGGGAACTGAAACAATCGGCATACATGAAGACGAATTTTGAGAAGGAGATTGCTGGTCTTAGGAAGGAGATCGGCGTGCTACGGGAGCAAAACGAGCAGATTAAAAATGAGTCTAACCTATGGAAGGAGGAGGCGGCGAGGCCCGGTAACAAGCGTGGTAGCGTGGTGATTGGTACACCGGAGGGTACGAATCGTGGAACTCCTAAACCACAATGGACGGGGAGTGCTCGGGCGGTGAGTCTGTGGATAAATGGAAGGAGGAATATTGAAATATTAGAAGTCTCCATCGGCTGGCTAATATCGAAGCTGAGGCATTGAAGGAGAAACGGGCCGAAGCGGAGCAGAAACGAGTTGAGGCCGAAAAGCAGGTGAAAGCATTGGAGGAGCAGATGAGTAAACTTACCGCCGATGGCAACAACAGCAAGGCCGGTGGAGGAACCAATCTCAAAGAACGATTGGAGGAAGTTTCTCTTAGATCGGTACGAAAGGGGGTGAAGGCAACCCCGGGCAGGGGGGGTGGTAAACCGGCTATTATTGAGATCAACGACCGGTGTGCCTATGTGAAACAGCAAAAGAAACAGTTGAGGCTACTAAGAAAGGCTGGACTGGAGCCTCTCTGCAAAGATGAAGGGGTAAAGCTCGACAAATTTTAGGATACCATCTGTGAATTGGCGGAAGCTCGCGCGAGGAAGATCTTCGAGGATGGTAAGAGTAAGGGGCAGTCGTCGAAGGACGTTGGTCTGGTGCATGAGGTAAGCGAAGATACAACCAAGGAAGGTAACAACCTCGAGGATGATGATGAACGCTCTGTCGAACTATAGGAAGTTTTCCCGAGCGTGACTAAGCTTTGGTCATTGGCTAATGAGTAACAGCCATTTCGTCAAAACGGACATATTATATTTTTTGAACGAAATCAAAACTGACTTTTTTTGCCAAAATCCGGTCGGAATTTTTTGCTCCTGGGGGTCCGGC